TTTATTATCCCAACACAAAGGAGCAGAGATTACATTAAATAGGAACTAATAATAATAATATTTGTCGTAACTCTTGTGAGAGACTAGGCCTGTATTTACAGCTCACCAACCCTCACCCTACACCATCAGACTTGTTTTAAATTTAAAAAAGTCAGCGGTGATGAGTAACGTCACTCGCCTATTTTATGAATGTGTAAAACAGACAATGAAAGAAATGTTAGCAGTCGTGATTTAGATATATTTAGTGATAATATCGATTCTTTCAAAAGAATACTAACTAAAATTATTAAAAATACCTAATTAATTAAGTTACTACAGTATTTATCAGTGTATCCTATTGCTATCTAGGTTAAGTTATTCAAGTATGTTAATGCGTCAAAAATTTTAATTTAGCTTGATTGTTGTTTTGAAATTGCCATCAACACTTATAATTGTTGTGTTTACAGTGTAGAACACCCAAGTCAAATAAAATAAAAATGTGTTGTGAACATAATATTAGTGTTGTTAATAAATAAATAGTACTGACTTAATTAGCTTTCGTCACAATTGTAAATTGCGTCGTTTACATAAGTAAGGGATGAATTAAGGGTTTTTTGTATGGAATTCTATATGTAATGTGTTGTTTGTTGTTGTCAGGTGCTGTGTGGGGCAGTGGCGGGCGCAGGCGACGTGATGGCGAACGTGAGCCGCGTACACCGCGCCGCGCCGCCGCACCATCCGCACCGCGTGCTGTATGTAGACAGGTGTGTACTCTTTGTACATTTATTTGTCCATCACACCCTGCTACCGTCTCCATATAAAACAGTCTCTAAGCCTCTCCAAAAAGTAAGAAGGTGGAAACGCCGGTGCTCTCGGTCATTGCGCTGTGATATAAATTTACCAAGAGGGCGTAATTGTAATAGAAAACCAAAAAATATTTTTATCTAACCTTCATCATTATCAGCATTGTCATTGAATTGCGCTTTTACTTTCCAATCTGATGAAATTATGTAAGATATGAGTTTATCCTAACCTTACTTTAGTTTCCGGGATGATAAAACCAAGCTATCTGCGATTAACTAAATTGTGAATGATTAGTTATCAATAGAATACCACATTAACACAATATTTATCATTTGCAAAATGTGTGAACATTACAGGACCGACGAAGAGGAAGCAACTGCGGCGTGGAAGCGCTCACATTGGCGCGAGATGAAGTCCATACTCCAGCACGAGGGTGCCAATGTAGAAAAGGTAGAGTGCTGCCCCTCAGTACTAGAGATGGTGGAAAAAAAAGGCGGCAAGAACTTAAGAGGTCGTTACGTCCATCTCTATAGAGACGGGGAAAATAAGCAACTACTCTACGAGCTATCGTGTGCTCCAGGCGTTGTTGACAAACCCTGTCGGTTCGTCGACGCCAGACTCTACAACCAATCGGTTTGCGTCCAACAATACTCGTACACGTATGCGTTAGTGCGGGACTCAGCAGATACGGAGATGCCCCAATATAGGAATCGAACTGAAAAGTACTTTAACGTGACGGGCACCGGTGGCTGGTCCATGGACCATATAAAAGTGCGTGCGGGCTGTGAGTGTCAAATTACGCCGCCGAAGCGGAAAAATGCACACAGAAGACGGCCGGAGAGACAACGGCATAAGAGGAAAAACAAAAAGTTCGAAGAAGATGATGACACTTGATTGTGGGTGTAGTGCTAGTAATCCAGTGGGACTTTGAACAAATTTAACGTGGAATCTTCCCGATTTAGTATTAGTAGAACATCGTGGTTTTGCAACTTTGCAAATTTGACCCTGGGCCATATGCCTAGTAACATACCTATAAAAAATTACAAGAAATTATTTCATATGACAACAGTTTTTAGGAAAATATTCCTAAACTCCTGTTCAGAAGTCTATACTTAAAACAAAATTAACGTAAGAACACAAACAAAAATTTCTTTATATCCGAGTCCAGACACGTTGAGGCAACATACAAAGACTCCAATCGGATCGATGGAATTTTTCTTTCGTGTTTGTTCGATGTATAAATCAATAATACAAAAGATAGATGAATTCATTGCAGTAAAAATATCATGATTCTAAATAAAAAGATATTACGAATTAAACTACTTTATTATTATTTTTGTGAGTTGCAAAGTCAAGAAAGTCGTGTTAACATAACGTTACCGATGCCAAGCCAATAACTTGGTCATAGCAAGTATCGGTATTAATTCAATGTATTTATTTTTGGGAATATCTTTAATTACGCTTCTCGTATTGTAGTGTTGTGTAAATAGTTTTGATCGATCTTATGAATCAGTGCCTTTACAATTAATTGTTGTCATTCTTTACCACTTCTTCGCTCTCCTGACTAATTGGCGCTTTCCCGATTAATTGTCGTAATTCGGTTAACATCACGAGCTTTATTATCAGGACGTTATTTGCAAAATATTAATCGCCTTACTTACCTATGTTACTAACAGCATGCTGCCATGCTTATGATAAGAACAATAAGTAACTCAAACATACTTACTGTTAATATTGTAAGCACGGCATCATGGAGAACAAGTTTTGTTCCAGGATTTTTTAGAAAACACAATGAATTTACCAAAAATAAACTTTTACATCTGTGCTTGGTAGTAAAGTAGTAAGTTAAAACGAGCAAGAGTCCTCCTTGATGACCCCTCACCCCCGCTCTTGTGTTTTGCTTCGGACTGGTATTTACCCAGGCGCTTTCTTTTGCTACTGCACAGAGTTATCACCGTTTAAAGCGATCTATTTAAATATTTTTATTTTGGACTGTATTTTTTTGTATGTATGCTATTGGGATTACACCGGCACTTGTGAGCCGATTTTGATGATTCTTTTTTTCTGTTGGAAAGAGAGTACCCCAGTATTGATCCTATTTAAATTTAAAGAAAATATTCCGCCTGTAAGGATGTCAAACTACGGAAGGAAATCGGTTTCGCGCACTTTCCGGTAACCGATTTCAACAAATCTTGGCAAATAGATGTAATTCCACAAACTTTTCAGGTCAGTTTTTTTTATAAAAACGTTGTTATTTTTATGTACGAAAGTAAAACTCACGAATTATTGAAAGTTATGGAACAAAAGTTGTTGTTTATGATGTGAGTGATGTAGTCCTGTGAGGTTGGTAGTATTTTATAAATAACGTTGTATATAAAAAGGTAGAGGATAAGTCGGAAGTGTTTTCTTTTATAAGCAAAGGGTCGTACGTTTTACTCAATTACGACAATGTAAGATATGGTTGTAGTTAGGAGAGGAGCGGGATTAGCCCATATTGTAGGATGTTTTCTGGAAAGGGCGTAAGCGATATTTCGAAAAATTTTTCCGGGAAACATAAAACATACTCTAAGGTTTTAACTTAACGTCTATTTTGAATTATGTACGTCCTGTTTTAAAATTTGGTTTTAATTAAGTTTAAATTTCAATATTGAATTTAGAACAGGGTGTTGAGTTAATATTTGAAAACGGTCGTAAAAAACCTAAAATATGCCCTGAATTTTTTTTTCCAAATATCACTTACGCTTCTACAAAACACCGACCCTATTTAAAACATATGTAGAACTAGTTCATAATGTACAGTCTGTTCAGATAGCCTGCAATAATTTGAAGTAAAATAATTGCTACATCTATCTAATAGATATTATGTTCTGCTTAACAGGTATTCAATAATAGTTACCGTTTGTGCACACTTCACTCCTGTAAGCCTTTATTATATTTTATAAAGAGTCGGAATCGTTCATTTTTATGAAACGCTTGAAACATATTAAGGAATAACTACAAAATGTGATTTTACTAATATTTTCCGACTCAAAAGCGATGTCTAAACACTTACAAATTTGTGACGTTGTTAGGCGCTGTTTTGAAAATGCTTGATGCAAAGAACAATTCTTTACCGACATTCTTTTCATTTTCTAGTATATCTTTTTGGACGAATAACTAAATACACTGATGATAATGCTCTCTTCCCCTTAAATTTAAGGATATTTATTCAAAGTTAACATTTTTTTTTAATTTTTGTTATTAATGTAACAGTAATTACTTGCTAGGTTTAAGCGCGTCAAGTCAAAGATCTGTATTATTTTCTATTTTGTAATACTTTTATTGTATTTAAATACTAGTTACTTTTAAGGATTAATTTGTCGTTTTATTTATACTGTATAATACGAGGTATTCCGTTCAGTATGAGTATTAGTTTTTATGTAGAAATCGCTTCCATTAAAATTAATATTGATGTAAATAACGCAATAATACCTATTTGAGGACAGATTACATTATGCGTTTAAATGTGTAATTTTAATCGACTTGTGAAACAAACAGAGACAAATCTATTTTATTACTTTATATCAAGCGCCATCTGTTTTTGTCTTTCAAAACTAATGCACTACTCTTCTACAACGTCATCTAGTGTTGAATAGCTGATTGTACGAACTTGTTGAACGTATACAATTATATATAACCTTATTTGGGTTATATTATATCTTTCTAACAAGCAGATGGTGCAAGTTTCAAAATAAAACAGATTCATTTTATCAAAAGTCAACATCAAGTGCCATGTTTCATTAATAATTACTTAAAAAATATGATTTTATCACCTTAGCATATGACTTTAGTAGTTCAGTTGAATTTAGACTCATTTTATAAATGACTGATTGTTACGCATAAAAATCTTTCATATATAACATTTTTTTATAACATTTATATTGCATTAGAAACTTACAACCAAAGTACCTATTTCGCAAAAGCAGAATTAATTTCGACAGCTAAACATAATAAACGTAAAAATTAAATATTTCTAAACTGACTAGAATAAAAATTAAAGGAGAATTAAACAATACGTACTATTTTATATTTTATTTGTAATGCAGTGTAAATTGTGACAATAATGTAACAATTACAATTTATTTATAACTCATGCAATGTAAAAACTAGTTATTTACGTTACTGTGACTTAGCATCCGCACAATTTTATTGTTGACATCAAATCACAATATTAAATAAAATAAAAACTTAAACAGAAAAATTGTTTTATTGTTCAAAATTTCACATGTTCAAAATTTCACATTCACACCAATATGTACTAAATTTGAATAGTAAGCAATACTTAATGTTCAATTCGTCATAGAATACTGGTACAATTAACAATTGTAAATTAAATGTCATTTTTTTTACACTTAATATCTGTCGATCGACAATATTCAGTGTGTCACGTGTGGACTTTCCTAATTAACATTATGTACTTAAAATATAGAAATGTACTTCATTCAACTAAATAAACATTGCCATACACAAACTGTTATGTAACAAACATCGATGGTAAAACAAATTAAACTTATGAAAACATTCATTGTCACGTTGTTAGATTTGTTTGTGATGGTTTGATTACCAGCTGGAATACGGTAATATTTTGTTTATTATGGCCTGTACAGGTCTATTCATTTCTCATGTGCTTTGATTTAAAATATAATTTGTGTTTGTCCAGTGAACTAGTTGGCGTCATGATCTGAAAAGAATATTAAAAAGGTTTTTTAATCAAGACGCCATCTACCGTTGAGTGGCAGTATTACGAACTAACAATAGATGTCGCTAGGTATTAATACGGTTCTAGTATACAATATAAAATACGATCCGGTGGACTGTAGAGATGGGGAAAAGCGTTACAATTTTGTCACCGTGACTATCGTTCCCGTTACAAAAAATCCCAGTGACAAATCACCGTAATCTTGTCACGCCTATCACTTACGTCATGATATATGGTTTTGGCGTCTATAATATTCGCTATTGTTACTCACTTTGACGTAACGTTTAATTCCATTTGAAAAGTTGATCTGCATTAACCTTCACAGTTTTACAGGCTTAGTACAGTCAAATTATTCGTTAATAAATACCATGCGGCGTTTTTATTATTTTGGATTAGTTTAGTATAATTATCTTATTCGTGTTTACAATATTTACACGGTATTTATTTATTGGTTCATAATTAGAATTTAAAAATAAAAGCTAACTACAATGAATAGCGCAGATACCATTGACGATATCATTTGACGTTATTTATCACCCACCTTAGGTGGATGTCACAGTAGGCGATCAAAAACATATTATTTATAGGAAAAAATAATCATAATCTTCTTCTTATGGTATTGATGGATTACACTATAATGCTTGCTATAGTGGTGAAAGGATTTGCTAATCGACGTTAGGTACTCGCTGATTATTGTCCAGAGAGCGACAGACGTAAATGAAAGGTGCGTCGGAGAGGTTCCTTTCGTGTACCTTATTCATCATTAATCTATTATTATATCGGGAAATACTAAGTGATACTTACCAAGAAACTTTGTACTCAAGTACATTATAGCGAATCCAATGCACACCGACAGGAACTGAGAGATACCCGCACTACGCTTGCGTTCGTGCCAGCGCGCGCGCTCCCGGGGCAATACCTCACTTACAGTCACGTAGAGAAGAGTTCCCGCGGCGAGGGCCTTAATTTGTAAATAAATATTAATTTTCTTTTTTATATTATTATATAATTATGATGCATTAATAAAACATAACAATAAAGAGTTAGAGAGAGTTTTGCCTAGAGTGTTTAAAGAGAAGAAAAAAGGGAATGCAATTAAGAATTCTTTAGGATCGTAGGAATTTTATCGTAGTTTTTTTTTTAAAGAAGAAAGAAGATCCCCGGCCGGGTCTTAGTAGAAAAACATTTTGACATTGTCTCGGGTCTGGGTGTTTGTGATACCGTAGTTGTTTGCCGTTTCCATAACACAAATGCTTTAATTACTTACCAGCAACAGCATATACTTTCCCAACCATATCAGAAAGAATTTTTAAAAAATAAGTGATATATCCTGTAGAATACCGACAAGCTGGCAACTCTACGGCGGTGTTCCAGGCTCTGCAGCTTCGCCTCTACTAGTTCCGAGTGCTGACTTGCTGCTGCTAGACAATATCATCAAATACATTGCATTGTGTTATGGAAATCGGAAACAACTACGGTACCACAAACACCTAGACCCGAGATAATGTAACAATGTTTTTCTACATTGACCCGGCCGGGGACCGAACCTCATCAAAACCGATGTGCAAACCACTCGACCACGAAACTTTTAAGCAAAATCAGCGTGCCAATCTAGAAAGTTACCGAAATACAAATGCGTTAGTTACGTAAAGGAGAGCAATAGATATATGATTCCTGTCGTGATCTTTTGGTAGCGCCAAGAGCTTTTACCTTGGTCAAAAATGAACCACGTACCTGCATAATGCACACAGCAGGCGAATCCTGTATGGCACTGACGCTCTCCAGACCTGCACCTGTGCCGATGCCAGCGACAGACCCGCCGGCGAATAGCACCACACTGACCAGATTCGCGCATAAAGTGCCTGTGCTTGCACACAATTCTGCGCCTAGGCAAAAAGCGACCACGAATTTGTGCGATGCCACCGCGCCGAGCAGGAGGAGGACCTGAAATTAAAAAGTAGAACATATTCAAAAATATCAAATTTGTATTGAATTGATATTCAATTATTTTTTGTGAAATTTGTCCACTAGTTTGTTATAATTAAGATTACACTTAGAAACTTCTTCTTAGAAAAATGTGTTATAATTATGAATGCAAAGACCGAACAGATGGCGCTATGACAAAAAAAGTCGTTAAAAAACCAAAACAAAATGCTGCTACAAATGCATAAAAAAATACATAAGGTCCGCTGGTTCGTTCCGTGGCTGAGTTGCCTTATCGTTTGGCACGGTTTGTTAGAAGACGTCGGTTCGAATCCAACCGGATCGAAGGAATTTTTTCTAAGTAAAGATCACTATTAATAATTATAACAAAACTAGTAGAGTAATTTCACAAAAAATAATTGAATATCATGGTAGTGAAACATCCTGACTCCTGACATTCAATAAACTTAATATTCAAAAATTTTTTACAAAAATTCTTTTCTAACCAAAGTTTTTAATACGTTCTAAATTAAAATGTTTTAAAAGAAGGATTCTTTTTGCAACCTATACTTAGTTTTTTTAGCATTTTTTTCGTTTTTTTAAATTTTGCAGTCGGCGTTGAAAAATATACCTAGTTAACTTTATTTACAAAACTAAAAAAATTTTTTCAATGTTATGACAGAATGAAATTTTGGATCTTTTATCAGGTGCCATTTTATTCAGTCATTTTAACGGAAAAACAATTTACTATAAACCATAAAGCAAAATTCGCAAACATTTTTATAAGTTGATGTAATTATTAGTTTGTTTAAACTTGTAGCGTTTACTAATGATTAAATGATTTCTTTTTATTCTCTTATATTTAATCTATTTCAAATCAAATCTTTGAACACCATAAAAAACTTAAAGAAACAGAGATTCCAAAATAATAACATATTATCTATCGCGTTATTTGTAAATATCATTGGTTAGTGGTTAGTATATCTTTTATCTGAAGAAAATATTTGCAATCACTGCTTCTTTATTCAAAGTTTTTCTAATTCTAAAAAAACAAAGCAATAGGGGTTCGTGTTGTAAACGTTGTAGTAGCTTGACCTTCTATTACAAATCAACAATCTCTAGTACAGGGTCAAGAGCACGTCAAGCTTCACATTTAAGATTTAAATCCAACTCTATGCCGCTTACGATAAGAACGGTCCAAAGTACAAAACGTCAAGCTTGATGTGCTCTTGACTGTATGCCCGCATACTTTATTTGTGATGCCCGCGGCTTACAGACGTAAATTAGTGATGCAACAGACCTCTGCTTCCGCACGCCTTTTCACATCGTTTCCGTTTCTGCTTCCGCAATTTTAATCGGAAGTTTATAACGTTCGCGACGGATAAAGCGCGTATGTGGATCACTCGGCAGTGGGACTAAAGGTGAAATTATGAAAGAAAAACATATCCCGTTTGGAACTATTTCCTTGAAATCTATTTTATCTACCGTACTTCTGCTACCGAATTCGCTTCCGTTTCCGTTTCCGCTAAGATTTGCTTTTAACAACTGTTTCCGTTATGACACTTCCGTTGCATCACTACCAGTAAATGTAGATTGCATAACATGTTCCTGTTTGAAGAACAAGCCTCCTCGTAAAGCGGCAGTTTTCATTTTTCAACATTAACGGTTTTCCGTAATTATCATTATAACTATATTATTGGGTCACGTTACTGATAATAAAGCCTACCTACTCATTATACAGAAATACTTACAATTATCTTTGGAATTCTTATCTTTCTTTTGTTTGAATTGACTTAATAAATTAACACAAAATAACCTAGTAAAACGTAACTACTTCAGTTCCAAACAAAAACACAAACACGACATTTAAAATTATAACTCCTTGGCCTCAATTCCGACTATTGAAGTTAACTGAACGTATGACTCGTAATCAAACACATCACTGATAGTATACAATAATAGTTAACCTTTACACAGTCCCATTGGTGAGCACAGGCCTCCTGTCACAATGGGAGGCTGCAGTTCCTATTCGAGCCAAATACGGATTGAGAATCACGAAAGTCATTAAATTGCTTTACACGTGTTTGTCCGGAAGGTAGGAAGGAAGTGCCCCTCAGATCTTTGTGATTTAAAGCTCTGAGTGGCACTGCAACTGTTATGGACAGGCGTGTCATGTCACTTGGTATCATAAAAAGGAAATAAAGAAATCTTTCACCGTTTTCGATGAAAGATGTATTTATGGTAAATTTCACATATAAATTCCGAAGCCCGGACTTGAATCCACGCTCTCTGCTTGAAAGGCGGTTGGTCAAACTATTAGACTACATCATAGTACATACATACATAGTACCCTAAAGCAAATTAAAATATGCATAAGAATCTATTAGCTAAAAAAAATAGCAATTGACTTAAATAAAGACATTGTTCGTACGGTGGAAAAATTAACATACCTGTGCTGCACTCTCCTGCAAACCAATAGCGAGTCCTTCCAAAAAACTATGAACGAACAATGCACATAACAACCCAACAATACCGGAAGAACTCTTATTGCAGGGTTCCGTATGACTAACATGGCACATTCTTGGATTGTCTGCATCTCCACAACATCTGTCACCTTCTCTAACACTCTGACTCGGGACTAAATTAGTTTCTTCCACACTTCCATATGCTACTGACACTCGTCTACTTCTTGTAGGTCCATGATGATGTCCTTCACCACCGCCATAGAAGAAATGCACAACCTCGTCAACTAGATAAACAAGTAAGAAACCGACACAAAGAAAAAGTTCGGTGTAACTTGGCAACTTTTCTCTAGCTTCTGGCAACATATGGACTAAAGAAGTAGACAGTAACACACCTGCTCCAAAACACAGAAGACAGGATAAAATTAAGGGATGTCGTTGCCTCGTTCGTTCCGAGAAACAAGTTGGGATCATTCCAATTATGAAACTTCCGAGGCCTAGCGATAGCATAGCTATTGCTTTTGCGGTTCCGGTATTCATTTTAATTACTCCTTTTGTATCAGTCTTAAATAAACTTTATTTCAAAACCTGAAGGTCAAATAGTATGGTCAAGCGGTAATAACACTGAACACAGTCTCGTTTTATACACTATTGTTTATCATCTCACTATAATGTTAAACAGTCTTTCTAAATAGGCACACGATTGTCATTTATTTTACATAGTTTAATGGAAGCATTTTCCAAAGGAAATCCGTCAACAAAACATAAGTTTGACTCTGTAACTCGCCACAAGGAACATTAACGCACTGCTTTTTTATCGATGTATCAATGTTTACTCAATGCTTTATCGATATTTCACAGACACATGTTGTTATCCACTATTTGTAATGATAACGAAATATTATACGTAATGTTCGTTGACTTTCAAATTAATATTTACTTTAATTGACAACCACACCGTCCACTGCACAGATTTCAAATGATTCATAGTCGGTACATACCCTCTTCAATTAATATTTATCTCTACTTGCACCACCATTCAAATATCATGACACTTATGTCTATGTCATTACGACTTATATTCTAGTAGGAAACGGTTTCATTCTTGCAATAGGGCTTTGTCACGTACGAATACCCATTTTAAAAAGAGCTGTCGCAGTGCGGTTTTACTTCTTAATCTTTTGTATAGGTTTATGAAGGCATAGGTCTAGTTTACTCGGTAATTAAGACAAAAGAATAGTCTACTCTCAGAGTTCAGTCGTCTATATTACGGAATCAAACGTAAAAAAGTCAAAAGCATTATATTTAACATCAACATTTCAAGTGCTGGACATAGGTCTCACCCAAAGATTGCCACTACACAAGTCTTGCTTCCAGCGTATTCCTGCAACCTTTACCAGGTCATTGGTCAGGTCATCACCCTGTGGGTATAGTACCCACGCTGCTTCTCCCGGTGCGCGGTCGCCATTCGACAACTAAATTTACTTTTACTACACACACACATCAGGGGCGTCACGAACGCGTTGCCAACGCTTTAGGACCCGTCTCAAACACCTTTTGAAGGACTCCATGCTGTATTTCTGCGGGAAAACCTCGACAGGGTGTGGAATGCACGTGTGAGGAAGCTCTGAAACCCTAGTGTACGAGATCGACGCGATTCCAGAGTATGAGATTGGACTCCCTACCGTCAGCGAGCGGTGCAATGATAAAATGTTACTGTTGACATCATGTCAAACAGTCCTTTAGAACATTGGCCATTGTAATACAGGCAATAGAACAGACATAGGGAGGCAGTCTCTCTTCGAAGACAATGGTTCAAAGCTAAATATTTTTTATGGTACCAAATGACGGGACGAAGAAGTCGCGCGCCTGGTGGTAAGCGACACGCCTATCCATAACAGTTGCAGTGCCACTCAGAGCTTTAAATTGCAAATATCTGAAGGGCATGCCACTACACCCGACACCCTCACACATAAGTTAACAAGTCCCATGTGCTTGTAATTTCACCAGCACCCTTACCCTTCAAAGCAGTAATGCTCACATTACCCCTTGGCGGCAAAAATAGGTAAGAAGGCAGTACTTCCCTGGACGCACTCTTTCACAAGGAGCTCTGCTGCTTCTAAAATGTAATAAAATATCTGTTCTGCGAGCAATACAGCCCGCCCGGTGCCACTTAAAGTTAAGTAATTAAAAATAAAAGAATAATTAAATAAAATAATAATATAATCACCACTACGTTCATATCATAAATTATTACAATGTTGCACCGAAAAACAGCGATTAAAATGAAAAAAATATTGATTGTTTCCTTATAACATTTGCATTGTAACGATTGCAGCAACCATGTTAATTAATGAATTTAATCATTTTGTGATTACACCTTACCATAAAGTATGATTAAATTAAATATGATTAAATAAATAACGCACACACTCAACGTAGCCCCGCACTAGGGAAACGCTGTGTCGCGGGTGCCATGGACATACACATAGACAACCACAAATTACACCCAAACTCACGAGAGAAATGAATGTAGACCATACAAATATTTCTCCCGACCCGGGAATCGAAACTGGGACCGAACCTCTGTGTGGCAGTCGGCATGGTAACTGTTCGGCCACGGAGGCAGTTAACTTTTTTTAGTTTTTTTAATTATATACGGTAACTTGATTAAAGTCAATGTTTTTCAATGTAGAAAAAGAAACAACCTGCATAAGGAATAAGGTTAGGTAAGAATTAAGGTTATTAATTACTTGTCGTTGACATTCAAGATAGAAATCTTTATCTTTTGTTTAGAAAAACAAAAAAAAGTCTTCGAAAGAAGTTCCTCTACATGAATAGTAGAATTAACCCCCAATACGTAAGTATTACCCATATAGGTACCGGGAAGGTATAAAACATTTCGTCTTTTAATACGTTTCAGTTTTTCAGGTAGTTTTTTTACAACCTTAGAAATTTATAACTAAGTCCAAACTCATGGGACCACGATTTCGTTTAACTAAGGTAAACGATTCTTTTATGTTGAACTGTATACGGTTTTACAATAAGATTCCGGAGCATATATTAAGATTACCATTTCCTAAGTTTAAAATTTACATTAAAAGTATTTTAATTGAAAAGTCATTATAAAATTCTAGACTATGCGTTAAATAAAGATCTATGGAAAGACAAAATTAGTCTAGATTCCACACAAAAACGATTCAAAATGTATTTTAAAGCATTTAAGCTTATTAGAAAAGAGCAATCCCTAAAGTTTCTTGCTCGTTCTTCTCAGGGAAAAATGTCGTCTTCAAGTGTAAAAAATTTACCTACGGAATAAATGTTTGTTTGACTTTGTCTTGGACTTTGACAGATATATCAACTTCAAATGTGTTTATGACAGCTGACACAACTCCTCGCTTTCATAATTTTAACGTACTCGTACAGTGAGAAACGTTTCAAAAACACATGTCAAGTTTTATACTTTAATAATAGCCAAATATATTGTTTGTTGTTTATGTTTAATTTATACGTAAATATACGTAACTTATAGTCTATTATAAGAAAGTATAATGTACCTATATACATAGGTACTATCAGTGTAATGTTGGATTATAGATAATAGACACATACCTAAATACCTAAAGCCTAGGCAATCGTGCAGTGGTGTCATGTGTGTGTGTTTGTGTTTTATAGATTTCTAAAATTATTCTTTAACTTATCAAATAAAGAAATAGATAGGCCTTAGAGCGATAACCTCGCATACGCGTTTTTGTTGAAGAAAAACTTATGAACGTCTTGCTCGAATATATTATTAAAGTAATATAGTATCCGAAAGAGGTATAAATTTTAGTAATTAAAATGCTAACTCCAGACATTATTACGTCCTACATTTTACACCACATTTTTATCTTCGTCCTGAAAAATTACAAAGTTATCACATACGACGTTTTCACTCTATTACGACGATATATAATATTGAAAAATGACATGATACATGTACTTACTATGAGCTACTCTTATTTATAATAATATATTATGTTGATGATAAGGGCGAAGCTTCAGCATTTAAAACTTCACTTTCAATTACAAATTCTTGGCAAAACAAAGACAAATAAATTTGTCGTCTGACTACCTGACCAGGGGATTATTTACATTCACCAGAGCGGAGAGCCTGTTATTACATTCTGACTCCGTCAGCACAATGCCCGCCTAGTTTCATGGCCGAGGTCCGTTGCCAGGACACTGTTTATTTAGACTACATATAACACAAAATGAGGCTAACATTTGCATTCTATAAACCCTTTAATTATAATAAAATAGAAAATCTATATTTTCGGATTTAAATGACGTAGATATATTTTCTATTTTTTCAAACAATCTGTAGCGCATCAGCACCGGCGCGCACCTGCGCTCATACCAATACTCACAGCCACGACGCCGGTTATAGCGCCATTGAGTAGCCACGCATCAGAGTGCAGTAAAGTGTATCACGACAGCGCCACCGCGACGATGGTGGCGCTACCGTCGCTACTATGTAAGCGCACTAAACTACCTACAAGTTAAGAGACCACAAAATGTACAGTAGTAGACTAATTTGAAAATAAATTTGTAACTTCTGTTCCTGACTACTGTTTTATTTCGTCCAAGCAAGCAACTACTAAATAAAAAACGTTCCTTTACAGGTTCCGTGGTCACGGGTGATTGACCATGACATAAAACAAATACGCATGTTAGATCCGAAAAAAAGTTTTATTGTTCACGTGTAACAATGGCAAAACCTAAGAACTTAACAATTTAATATTAATAAAACTATTGCATTACAAATTTTGCTTTGATAATAATATTAGAGCCATATAAAATACACAAACGCACACAAAAAATACACACACAAGAAAGATCTTTCTACAACTCGCTGATAACTCACACTACTGCTCGATTTTGACTTTTCGTCTTATTAGTCACTGTAGTTTAGGTACGTATATAGAAACAAATAGTAGGGATTATAAAAGATAGCATAATCCCTATTATTTCATTTAATATCGTATAAAGTAGTATATTCAAAAGATTTAAATAGACGTATTTTAGTGAACGGTACGACTTTAGAATTTCAATTATTACTTTCGAGTTTCGCAGTTAAATAAGGAAAACCGCAAGATAACATAAGCAGCACTCGTTTATATACAAGGCGTGAGCAAATAGACACTTTCTAAGCAAAGCATGATCCAGTCTTTACTACATTTTGTCACTAAACATCAAGTGAGATTGTGGTGAAATTATTTCCTATAAGTCATTGACTTATAAGTAATAAAAAAAGTATACAATTATAATAATCTCTATACAGAGTACTAAAAAAACTGCCCTCAAATAATTCGTGAAATTTACCTTATTTATTTACCATGTTTTATAGAAATCGGTTACCGTAAAATACGTGAAAACGGATTCATCCCCTAGTTTGCCACGCTTGGAGGTGATTCCACCGCCACCTTTTTGTTCAAATTTAAATGGTACCCTCTTTCCAACAAAAAAGAATCATCGAACTCGGTTCGCAAATACCGGAGTTATCGCGTAACATATGCAAAATAAAAAATAAAAAAAACTTACAACCGAATTGAGAACCTCCGCCGTTTTTGAAGTCGGTTAAAATAGTAATGTGCCAGACAACCAAACCTCAGGTCTCAAACTAGAGAATTCTCTGAACTGTGCAGAGCAACGGAATTCACTACAGAATACTACCCAGAACACCCGTACCAGAACCAATTTAGAAAAGTTCATTTCACAAATTGGTTGTACCGGGAATCGAACCCGGGATCAAAACCTAAACCAAAAAGAAAAGTTTAAAAATATATTACATTCAGACTTCACATTAAAGTATTTACACCTTCTAAGTAATTGCCCTGGAGTGTAGTGGACTTTCCTATCTATCTTTAACACGCTCTGTACTCCAGGAAGGATTCTTCTGAGATACTTTGCGTTTCCGTCGTGTGGTCTTTTATCCAAAGTCATGTTGATCACATCCTCCAAAAAGCCAGAAGATTAACCAACGTGGAAGGCCACTTATAAAGTACGAATCGGCTTGAGAAAGCAGCGTAAGAAACTACTTTTAATCCATGCAACTCGAGCAAATTGCATAGCGAGAAAGATAGCGCGTTTGGCAGCCGGTCAGCCGGCTTAATGCAAATTCGTTTCGATAGGTATGATGACTCCCATACATAATGCTTCAAACCATAATTAGATCTTCTGCTGTTTTGTACTGAACTTAAATTTAGCAGGGTTCCAAAATAATCATGACTGTCACTGTGTTTTTTTCGTGTTATATTTGTGGCAGCCCGGTCTTTTCCATCCTCTAAGGCCCGGTCCCAAGCCGCGCTTCAAAGACAAAGGAAGAAAATAAGAAGCGAGTTTATGAGTCCAATCTCCGTGAAATTTAACCGTCTTCTTTTACATTTGATGTTTTTTGCGGAGTCTATTAAGAAGAAAGAATAACGAAACTCAAAACGTCAAGTAAGTGTCAAATGAAGAAAATCTTGGATACAGTAGAATATGAATGAATTACTACAGCAACATGGATGCTCCAACGTATTCACCGTCCCAGAAGGCCTCAGGGAGCTCATGTCCGATATCTCCAGAGAGGTGAGATAGTTTAAACCAGAAATGCCTTCTATGGAAATCACGCGAGACCCACTAACGTTGCAAGTTTTTTTTTTTCATGATATCAAATGATGGAACAAACAACTCGTGCGCGCTGATTAAGCGACTCACCTGTCCATAGCAGTAACAGTGCCACTCAGTTTACATCGCAAAGATCTAAAGGGCACTGTCACTGCGCCTGACACCCAGAGACATAAATGGGCAAGTCCCACGTGCCTGTAATTTCACCAGTATCCGTACCCTGCAAAACCGAAACGCTGTAATTGCTCACATTTCTATTTAGCGCCAGAAATATCTGGGCAATCTCTTTATCTCAAATGATTACCTGCTATTAGCTCATGATGAGCTCTCGTGCTTCGTATCCAGGCTGTTAGGTCCATTATCTGCCAAAGTAGATATGTCATCAACCATTGTTTTGATATCTCCAGGCCGCTTAGTAAAGTAACGATCATTAATAAGACACAGATTCGGTTTTTTTAAACTTATCAAGTGAATAACATAAAAAAATACATTTAACTTACTTTGCATATTAGATATCAAAGAATTCTATCCAACCATGATAATTTTACGTAGCTAGTCTGTGCTATTCCTAGTAAAAACGAAAAAAAAAATCCCTTAACACCGAAACCGAAAGATTCTTGTTGTTTTTAAATCATAAAACATTATTCTGGAACTTGCGGTGTTGTTTATTTAATGAGCCTAATTCTCAGTAAACATGATGATTATGACAACTCCCTAAAGCAGCGGGGAATTACTTATTAAAACAAATTCGTCATGTCCCGGATGAGTCAGTTATTTGTCATTTTTGTCATTAATATTCATCCATGAATGTTATCCGTGCATATAAATAAAAAAGAGATATAAATTCTTTTGCTGAAAATCAATTTGAATTATAGTTACACGAGGCGATAGATTTCGCACGGCCGCCCAGTTACCACGCCTTCGTAAAAGCCAAGCTAAAATGTAAAAGCTAAACGAACAGAGCTTATTTTGCCATGACAGTTAGACGCACGCAGTTGCTGCGCGGCAGCAACGCGGCCACCGCTCGGCGACCACGCAGCGGCCGCGCGGGCTAACGAATTCGTGTAGAATAAATACGCCCTTATCCATTGGAAATAAAACTAGATTTTCCAGATCTACTTTGTATATTTGCAAACAAACGTTTAGGGCTCTTTACATGGCGTCTACTCCCTTTCTCCGTCCGACATCCCTCCGAAACAATTACAGTCAAATAAGCAATACTCGACTAAATTAAAAAACGCATGATGCGAATGAAGCTTCAAACTTGACATATACTTACTTAGGTACTCAGTCTCGGAAGCACATCCAAAAACCATTTCGGATGACAAAACATTCTTCACGCCTTTCGTCTTGAAATAGCCAAGTAGCCGTGGTAGCCTACTGGTTTTACCTACTAATCCAGACTCGCACTGCTGAGTTCCTGTGAATTTATGTGCAAAATTTAATTTGAAACTTATCAAAAGCTTTTCGGTGAAGGGAAATATCGTGATGAAGCATCGAAGAAGGTTCACAATCCTTGGAAAACGTGCGAAGTCCCCATCCTGCATTGGGCCAGCGTGGCGGACTATGGCCTAAACCCTCTCTTGAGAAGAGACCCGTGTCCAACAGTGAGACGTATAAATGAGTTGATGATTAATGAAATTCCTTCGAACAACCGTTCGAAGGAATGCCGTGCCGAGGCAGAGGTCCCAAGTTCGATTCCCTGGCTGGGAGAAATATTTATATAGCCTGCATTCTCTCGTGAGTTTGGGTGTAATGTCTGGTTGTTTATGTATATGTCCACGGCACCCGCGATACGGGGTTTCTCTATTGTGGAGCTATGTTGATTATGTGCGTTATTATAAAATAATAATAATGAGTTCTTGGGTTTTCGCGATTATTTTTCCGGATTTTAATCGCGTATATTTCGCGTAACAATCGCGAAAACCTAAGAACTCGATATGTTCTGACTGGACGTTGCAAATAAAATCCGGCGAGTGCGCGCGCCCCAACTGTATTAACTTTTCTCAAACAGTGCCGCGACAATAACATGGCGACTGTTAACTGGCAATCGGTACTATCTAAATTTTGACAACTTTACAGGATGAAGAAAAAAATTGTTTGTGTCATTTATTCATTTAGCATCAGGCGTATTAAATAAAATACGTAGTTTTTAAATATTTTTATTACGCATGTATGTACGTACACTACGTATTTTTATCTAATAAACCAGATGCTATATAAATGATTTTTTCTTCAGCCTGTAAAGGTGTCTAAATTGAGATTAGGTTGCCAGTTCACAGTCGATAGTTCAGTCAACCGTGACCATGGGACCTGTAAAGGGCCCGAAACGTTGGCATTGGTTTGTTTGAAAAAACAAATATAGGCGATTTAAATCCGGAAAAATAGTTTCATTTCCTAAATAATAACAAATAAAAAATAAAATACCCACGGCATCAACTTTGTTAATTATTGAAATTACTCAAGTACCTATATTAGTGAACGGTAAAAACATTCTGTCACTTAGGTCCTTCGCGCGCAACCAACAAGGATATACGACTTCATAGCAAATTATCTGTCCGTACTGCTAATTACAAGAGAACACGGTATTCTAGCAGTGAGAATTCTGGACGATCTTTGTGACTGCAAGCCATCGGTGTCTGAACACCTAATTCAGATCGGGTTTAACCAACCTGAAGCTGAACAGCTTGCACAGATAATTAAACAGGAGATTGAAGGAGACGAGCCTACTGAAGGGACAGGTAAGACATTTTACTTATTAGGAAGATTATCAGATATGAAATAAGAAATTTGATATGAATGAATTGCATTGGCTTCATTGTCCGGTGGTTCTATTATATCATACCCACCGTTTTGTAATTTCCCATTTTATTCGATCGACGAAAAACAGTAACAAGATGCAATTTCTGGTTTGCTACAATTTATGTCTATTGAAGAGCCGTGGTAGCCTAATAATTTGACAAGCAGACGCCGTGGATTCGAATCCGGGCTGCTCTGAGTTTTTCGGAAATTTGTCATGAGAAAGAAGGAATAAGTTATGAAACCTGCTCGTCGAAGAAAGTTCACAACTTTCGAGAAACTTGTCAAGTCCCCAACCCGCATTGGACCAGGGTGGCAGACTATGGCCTCAAAGCCTCGCCTGAGAAACCACATAACTGAACACAAATTGTTTTGAAAAGAAAATTAATTTAAATACAATATGGATGCGACATGTGATTAGTACGTTTGTTTTGTAACAGAGAAAGTAAAAGAACTAGAAATATTAAAAAGGATCCTGAGCACCAATCCATTGGATGAAGACATGACGGCGAAAGTTTGCCAGATAACCAGAAATGCGTACCGCGACTATTGGTACAAAAAGAAATTGCTGGAACAGGTATTTATGTACTAATAACAAAAACACTTAAAAAAGTTTACAGACGGCGACTTTAGCAGCGATGGAGTTGCTAATCGTCTGTCTACCTTTACACACGCTCGCGATTTTAAGCAGCGATGCAAACGCGATGCAAACGCGATGCAAGCGCGAGACTGCATCGGTACAAACTTGGGATTTATAGGCTTTTGCATCGCTGCTAAAGGTCTCCGTGTGTAACCACTCTAAGACCTGTAATAAATAAGATGTTTTCGAGATACAGTTCTTTTGAATTTCAAACTATATCTCAAAACCATAGCTTTATCGTTGACTAAGGCTATGTAGACTCAATTTATGCTATAAAATATAGTGTAGTAATGACACAATATTAAGCAACTAAATTCAACTTTAACAGTAAGTGCTTTTTTTATTATAATCACCGCTTATCTCAACTGATGAAAGTGATGATGAGGTCCACTATGAAGCATGCACAATTGCACAAATACATAATACTTGTTCACTCTCGGATTAAAAGGCGCAAGTTATTGTTCAGGGAATTTCTCTCCATAGCCGTTCGCCATTTTCAATTTTGAAGCGAAACTATTCGTGCGAGTCCTTGAAGTATCCACAATCTAAGAGTGGAACCCCAGCCTATGTCTAGTCCTCGACGGTTTTAGGTAATGTTGATGGGAAATCCAAAATGACTATTTATTAAAAATCATAAATGATGAAACCAATTGCCCTTTTTTATCGTTCCAATACTGAGTACACATGTAATGATGGACTGATGTATACATGATGTATATAAATAGATAACGGATATATCATTTTAAAAACGTGCCTCGTCAAGGTCGAAGTAACGACATCGTTAGAGGTAAATTATCTTCACACTATAGATAGGTACTATAGATAACGCTATGCCTAACAATCTTACTGCGTTAATATATTATTGGGTTCACAAATACCCTGGGAAATTTTATTTGTACAACTCACAGCACAGAGGTTGACATATACAAACAAGTATAGTTTCACTATGTCTGGCCAAATATACAAACATATTGAAGGTATATTATATAAACTGCCACCATGGTCGAACAGTTACCTAGTTACCGTGTACAACAAAGAACAACTGTTTCGTTATAATTCGGTTTTCGGTGTAATGAAAATTCGAACAGACGTTATTTCGAACAAAAAAATTTTCGAGTTTGTAATAGGAACTCATAACCTTCTAAACCGAACGCAGCAACGCTCACATCACTACTTGGCGGCAGAAATATGTAATGGACGAACTCTTTAAGAATGTGACATGGGTTTGATTTAATAAGTCAGTCAGTAATTTAAACGCAGTGATAATTATATCGCTCAATTTTAATGTTCATAATTATAAAATGTAACTAGATGTCAAAATAATAATATTAGAATAACGTCAAAATAAATACACAAATATCACAAATGCACCAATAAAGTTAAGGATTGTTCATTTCAAAATTTGGACACTGATATTCGTGAATATATTGTTTAATTGTTTTTTAATAGCATAAGGTTTTTCTCAGACCTAAGTTTTACAAAAGTTGTTATAAATTTTAATAAGCCGTTTTTTGCTTATAAATTGGAGATTTTGGCGGTAATGGTAAATTTTACTGTACTCATTATGTGCATTCCAAATTAGTTGCCAATACGTAACAACAAAGAAAATAAAATAGATACATTTTGAAAAGGCTTTGAGTTTAAAATATTGGTTTTAGAGCTTGAAGGTGCAAGCTGACGAACCATGGGAAGTAGCTGCACAACACACACTAGAAATATATAAGAAGACTAAACCTTCTTTCACCGAATTAACCAGAGCTACTGAGAAAATACAAGTAAAAAAAAATATATTCTTATTTAGATGTTTGTAGATCTAAAGTAAAACGTTATTTATTTTTAATATTGTCAACCCTCCTACAACACGATTAATTCTTACCGCGTTCCATGGAAACCGCGTTATAAGAAACCGTGAATTAATACTAACCATATTAGTCATACCGCGTTATATGGAAACCACTGACGCGGTATATGGAAATCGCGCTCTAGGAGACTCGGAATTAATACAAATCAGATTATTCATACCGCAATAAATAGAAGCCACTGCCGCGCTATATGGAAACCGCGCTATAAGAGAATTAATACAAATCATTTATTAATGCATGTCAAAAATACTAGGTGGCGCAACAGTTGTCACTCGATGTACTTTGATTGTAATTTTTTTAATAAATGAGAAACTTTAATTTCGCTTATGGATTGTGTTTATTTGATGCCAAAAATTTCTTTTTTTTAATTAAGTAGAAAAAATTATGTAGGTAATAAATAATTGATGACCTTAGAGGCCCGATTTATGCATTTTCCATCACTCTTGCCAGAACTTCCGGCGATAGGTTCCCGCATTCCTGACGGATATTCTCTTTGAGGGCTTCAAGAGTCTGAAGCTTGTTGACATAGACTCGTGACTTTAAGAAACCTCATAAAAAGAAGTCTAGAACGGGTTAAACTGGGCGATCTTGCCCGCCAGAAAAATCACCAGAACGAGAGATTAGGCGACCCGGAAGTGCAGCCCTCAGATTTCGGTCGTGAGTCGTGCACTCGTGCAGTATGCGTCGTCGCTTCATCCTGTTGGAACCACATGTTCTCCAGTCCCAATTCGTCCAGTTGAAGTAGGGGAAAATCGTTGAGCATGGCTCTGTAGCGCTCGCCGTTCACAGTAGTCGTTTGGTCCGCGGCGTTTTCGAAAAAATAAGGCCCGATGACCCCTCCACAATTATCCCGCGTTCTTGAGCAGTATAGCTATTCACGTCTCATTGGCGTGTATTTTGTATTTGTTTACTTCAGAAATGTCAAAGCAGTACTGACATTTGCCGTCATTTGCAAAAATTGTAGCACCTTCCGAAGGGTGACTACTTTTGCGCCCCTGTTGTGTAATACTTTACCCTCTAATATAAAAGATATAAATAATAATTATTTATTTAAACGTAAGCTGATGTCATGTCTAATAGATAAAAATTTGTACTCCATTACAAACTTCTTTTCATATAAAGCTCTTCAAATTTGACTATATAATTGATTTGACCTACAATGACATGAATTTATTATATTCTTTTTACTTCTGTATGACATGACAATAACTTACAATTACTTATTACATGTATAATTAATAACTCTAGTTACATTGTTAGAATTAGCTTCAGATTTATAAAATTAAAAAAAAAATGTAATTCAATAAAATTTGCATGCCAGTTTTGGTAAAATATGAAACTGTTACAATATACCACCTTCTGTAAAACATATTTTACGCAAATAAAATCAATCAATCAATCAATCTCACGTTATACAGAAACCACTGCTCGCGTTTATGGGAACCGCGCTATTAGAGACTCGGAATTAATACAAATCAGAATATTCGTTTCGCGCTGTAACGGTTTCTATTATGCAAAAACCACGTTATATGGAAATCTTGCAAGAGAACCGCGTTATAGAAGAGTTGACTGTAATATATTCCGGCGTTGAAAGTGATCGAGCGAGCACATTCTAAATGCACGTTTGAATAATTAAATAAGATAGTAGTAGTTAGTGCGCGGATGGTACACATGGCTGTCATAAAGTATACATGGACTGAGTAGTGCCTTAAATTATATTCTAGTTTAATATATTGTTGAAATTTAACCATAAACAATTTAAGTACAAAGTTGTGCTTGCAGCGCTGGATTCTTGTGAACTCATGCCTTTTAAGAATGGCTTCATTGCCATAACTTGAGTCAAAGCTCGACTGATATCGTATATTCCAGGCTGCGTACCGAGGTTACTATATCCGCAAGAACATGATAAGACATCTGAAACTCGAGGAGAAGAAGAAAAAGCAATCTCCAAAAGTAGAACTCTTGGGAGCGCCACTGGACATTGCTGGTTCCAGAGAAATAGAGTTGGGACATGTTATTGTGAGATTTCTTCCATACTTTTTGTGCAATGCAATATGAATTAGCCACTGGAACATTCTTATAGTGGGAAATTTCCACCACACATCACCCTACTCGCACTGCTATTACAATAGTGTTGTAACTCAAAATATGTGATATTTAATATCATATATATCATTACTGACGTGAAATTTGATTCTCTACACGTCAAAAAAACCGTCAGTTGAATATTGTAAGAAACAATCAAAAGATCTACTAATAGGGATAAGATCTACTTAACTCAAAATGAGATACACTTTGGATCAGCTAGTTCTGGCCAAAATATCCTTATTCAAAAATATTTTTTCCATTTTATTTTTAAATATATTTGAGATATTGCTTAAGTGTCTATAATAAACTATAACATATACATAAATTTTAATGATTTCTTGCGGGAAGTGAGTAATTCATTTATCATCGATTCTGAGAAAGTCCACTTTTTGAGTTACTACATTATTGTACTAACAGTGCGTGCTATTGTCTACGAGCTATTTACTAGATAACTCGAAGTTAGTGGACATACGTTTTTTCTTAATTCGCGGTTGTCACAGGGCAGAATACATAGTGATCCTGCTCTCTTAGTGATGCCTACGTGGTGTACAATATGCGTAGGAATTGGTACAATTAGTGACGGTTAAGAATAAGGTGAACCTCAAAGCCACAACGCAACGAGTTTCCTAGGAAAAGATAGAAGAAATCCAGGCTCAATATTTATGAATTTCTGATGATGATAAGAATGAGGTAAAAGAACTGTTTCAGCTCTTACGCTATAATA